AATGAGGCCTACTCTCACTGAGTTGGGAATATGGGTCAAAGACGATTTCGAATGCTCGAAACAAGCAGAGCAAGCGTCCAGAACCGGTAAGAAACTGGAGGTTGGACCGAAAAATCTTCCCAAAATGCTTAATACCTACGTGCAACTGCGCTTGGAATCCGCCATCCAAGCTTAACAGACGTGGCAGAAGCAGGATCACGTTACTCACGACTGCTCAACCAAAGGAAACTAAGAACGTTAAGGGCATCTTTCATCTGCTATATCAGTCTAGACTAAAGTCCCCAGGCATGTAAGGCAGTCCACACTGGCGTTTCCCGGGGACATCATAATGGTTTACCAGATTCTGAAGGACACAGCCCACATTTGTTGCTCCTTGCTGGAAGTGCACAACAATACTAACCTGAGAAGACGTCCTCTGAAATTGACAATAAGGTATAGCCGGCAGGAATAACGTAGCAATTTCTTTCCCCGCGTGTGTCAGTCGTGGAACTCTATTCCAAATTGTGTCGTCCCTGTCCCCAATCTAACAACACAAAAAACCCTGATGATGCGCTGTCCCATTGGCATGTCATTTTATAACATGTGTTAGACAGCTGCTACAAAGGGCAAAGAAGCGGGGCGTTTCCAAAATTCCAACAACTAGATTTATAGAATTACACTGATCATTCGAACATCTCAACTCTTCTACACATGTCTATGATGGGTCCAGCAAAACGCTTTTCACCTTATAATGAGTGTTTATTTTCTCAATAATTTCCATTCCACGGGACTTGGTAAGCATCGCTTTTTACCCGTATTACATCATTCTTCCATCTTTTTCTCTGTGGATAAGGAAATATATCCTTCACTGTCGCTATGATTAATTTTCTGAAGTCAAAACAAAATCTGTAAGTCCCGTTAGGCTTATCGCGATGAACAACAGCGATGAGTACGGGCTGTTTACTCTATTAATAGTCCCTTTAATCTCTATCCCCGTCGCTTGTTTTTGTACCTTCCATAAGGCTTGTGGTATTCTTCTGTAAACTGGCTTGAACTGTCCCCCTGAGATAATGATACCTGGTGTTGTACCCAGTCGCAGAACCCGTAACGATGGTACGCAGATTCTGCTTGATATTGCTGAATTACCTATTGAGATTGCAGCAGAAGAGTGGGGCATCTTGCACTTGAGCACTCAGCTGAGATCAGGAGAGTGAGCACCACTCGCGTATCCTGGGCTGGTCCCTCAGATCGATCAACAAATGCGCGTATTTGTGTATCAGTTGCAGCATCGTAACTTTAGCCGCCTAGAAATGTTTCGCTTGGTGGGTTTCAGGCAGGGAAACGCCATATTTTGCTCTGCAGAGGTTGCTTATGCAATGGACTTCCTTGACTTAAAGATAGCTAATCCAGTTATCACCATCAATTTGCAGGGTAGAGATTTGAGAACGGGTCACTAATTTTCCGTTGGAGTCGGATAAGCTACCTGACAATCGATTTTGTGGTGTAAAGAGAGAGCACCTATCAATACTCTTTACTGTATGAAAAATATGCCCATAGGATTCATCACTGATGCTTTTTCAAGATCAATCGGCTGGGAAATAGACCATCTTCTACTGTGCATATAAATCCCAATACTGTTGACAAGTTGAATCATAAACGCGCAACTAGCACCTGGGTACATTCGACCGGAGTAAATTCAACAATAAGGAAAACATTCACAGGCCTCTCCTCGTTATCATCAGAAAAACGGATCATGCGGTCTTTGTCAACAGGGCCTGAGTCGGATAGTTACTTGATCATTCTGACGTTGCAAACATACATACCAGCGTCCGGACAACTTACATATCCAATAGAAAGGCAGTGGAGGGAAACAATTACTGCTCCTGGCTGACCGCTGTGACCACGAGTGCAAGCGTTGGAAGAATGGATATGACGGTGTGGTGTAAGTACCTTAACATTAGTTGCGAGATCTGTGGAAGTCTGTTTTAGACTAAATGGAGGAAAGCGGCGTGAAAGGGAAAGTATCAAGAGGAAAACAGAAGGGGTTAGTTTTAGGCACAGAAGCTGTACCGTAACATCCCATTCCGAAGTAGGCATGACTAATGTTTATGCCATTTGGTAACAGGACTTGATGGACTTGAAGGGTTTGCTATAATGTCTATTGAACTTTCTTTGCTATAGAGGCATCATACGCTGGATTGACTGCTGTCATAAGGAGCGAAATCCTCTGTGAGGAAACTTTTGTTCTACCACCAAATAGCTGGCAGATACGCGCGTCATCACACGGACGAAACACTGTGCACAATGTGGACAGCCCATAATAAAGAGAAACTGATATAAAGTGAACAAGCACAGAGAAGTTTAGTGCGCAGATAAATCATGATGGAACTTCGAATTTACACGGCAGATTGCTGCCGTTAGTGATGCGAAAGATGCCAGTTGGTGTCGGCCGACTTCGGGTAATTTTACTCATGACTGTGGTGTTCCATAAGATTGAGTGTCTGCCTTCTAATCCTTAAGTGACCGATCCGAAACCGCGTAGGCGCCGGCTACTTCACTGTGTACACACAGCCCTCGCACGAATTGTTGGTCGCATGGCAGGGAAGCGCCGGGCAACATGCGGGCCTACTACTGATGACTGATGCCTGCTCTACTGCTGGATATACAGAAGTCCAACCCACATGGTGCATCCGTCCCGCGATCCCAACCATTGATCACATCAAATCAGACAATGTCATGGGCCAAGCAATTATGGGTGATTCATTGGCCCTCAAAGTAAATGACCTAACTCTGATTAAGAATGTACTTACCTTGTGATCTCGCTGCATCAATACTACCGATTCTACTCACACTGTACTATTTTCTCCACCTACTGAAAGTATTTCAAGTCACGAGAGGAAGAACAGGTGAGCAATCCGAGCAGCCACTTTGGTCTTCCCAAGTAGTCATTATGAGACTTATATATCGTTTTCGGTATAGGAACAGAGCTTCTTGCAAGCGTGCTTGCCAGTTAATAATGGGTTCATGTAGACGAAGATTATCATAAATATGATTCGCTGTATGTTTGCAAAACTTTGTCTGTTCCCTCGACAGTGTTTACAGCCTGGGAGAAAGCATTGGAACCGATGTGAAAGTTATTCGGTTAATTCAGTCGGTGCGTTTTTATTCTATCACTACTGAGACGTGCGCAGATGAAAATATCCTTGATCCAAATATTTACCATATCTAACTACCTTGGCTTGTAGTAACAAATTAAGTATCTCATTAGCAGCTTCTGCTGACGTGTTATAACTAAGGTCTGGCATTCGGTCTGGGAAATTTTACCGCATCAGAAGAAAGTCTGCAAATACATCTTTCTAAGCTGCTGATTGTATCACTGAAATTGTGATGTCGGCCTGTGTCAAATGCTAAGTCTAACGAAAACCCCAGTGTTTGCTGACAGCTGCTTAGAACAACACATCCGAGTATATGAACTCTGGTCTGGTTTGTCCGAGGTAAGAACAAAAGCGGAATCATTTAGTTACAAACATATTGTGTGACTGAGCGCCGAAGGATTAGTGGAATTTATTCCGTTTTGATGTAATTCCATGCGTTTTAAGATGCTTAGATGTGAGCAAATCAGGAACTATGTGTGCGAACGAAACGGTTGAAGGTGTAGTGGAGTCGTAAGTGGTTTATTTGTTCAAAATAAACCAGCTTGTGCAAGTGTGAGAATCCGCCAGAAGTATTTGCGAGAATGCTTGCCCATACAATGCGTAAACGCCAAATTGCTAAGCATGCATAATTCTAATGCATTAGGTATCTGGCTTGTTGACTGACCCAAGCTAACAGAATAGCTTTTAGTCAAAACAAACAAACTTATCCAACATGCCATATCATAGTGTGCCTCGTTTTATAGAGAATAAAACATTTATTTATGTATTTATTTAACATGTTAGCCATCAAGTTAATATCTATGAAGCGCGGTACTCGTTAGGTGGTCGGTCACCACGAAGCATAATTTTCAGCTGCCTGGATGCCTAAACCCTGTCTTTCAGCACTAATGCACTCGCGCACCTGGTAAACCCCCTCAACTTACAGCCAAGCTTTAAAAAGAGAAGACTGAGTGGAAAATACGATTTTAATTTTTATTAACATAGGACGTCAGAAATTTTCATAGACCACAACTTCCCTAATTGACAGAAATTAATAAGTTTATTCAAGATGATTGCATGGTGTTTGGAAATCCCTTTATTGTGAAGAAAATGTACAGTCACAATAAGGCTAACTGACAGAAGGTACAGAATTTCATTTGATAGCCAATAATATGTCGATTTTACTAAATAGGAATTTCACTAAAAGTGTACAGTTGGTTTGCATATTGTTGGTCTTAGAAATCATGCAAATCCCAAAAAAGATTCGTTTGCGGCAAGAATGATCACACCGTTTGCCAAAATCTCGAAATCAGCTTAACCACTTTTGGTCAGTGTGGAATGTCACCTTGGGGGATTTCTCCGTGATATTACGGAATTCTCCTACCACGACGCGGTTGATTCCGGCTTGAAGAAAGTCTCTTGGGATGTATAGTCTTTGCTGCGGACCAAGTAACTGATCAAACCGCCCGACAAGATTGTCATTGATGGCCACAAGACCCTTTACAACCAGTCATAGAAGAAAAACACGTTCCGGATTATAACAAAAAGATCGCCTCATTTATCTTAAATAATTGCGCTTTGCTAATACTACTCTTTTCAATATTCACTTGGGATCGGATTTTCGGGTTTTATATTTTTCGCAATGCAAAACGTGCAAGCAAAAATTTACACTCCAATGGATTTGTCCCGAAATCAGGAATTTCGACTCTGATTTCAGTATTTAGTTTCATCCCCCGGCATACAAACTCTTCAGTAGGATCATGAATGAGCTAACCGGATCAGCTACTAACACTTTAGTCCGATTTTGAATGTTCATCAAGAAGGACTGAAATTAGCACAAACTGATGTCGATGTAGTTGTCGTAGAGCTTTGTGGAATGTGACGCTACCAATACGGAAGCTGAGAGATTCCTCCCCCAAGTTGATCAAATGAAATAACTGGCCACCATTTGGCTTGGCAAGCTATTAAATAGAAGAGGTACTCGTATTTACTAGTAGGTGTTCACGGCTATTCTTTACTGCTAAAAGTATCCTAAACTTACAAATTGGTAAGACTTAAATAGCGTCAATCCCACGAACACCGTGGAATAAACGTTAGGGGGTAACCACGGTTGTTTTAGAATTTAATATATAAGGAATTGCTGCAATACGTTGGTTGATGCACAAACATTAAAGTTTTCTGGGTGTGGAAAAATGAAACATTGCATTTTGCAGAGTAACTTTTGCACAGGTGATCACTCAGACACCCATTGCTATTTCCAAAGCGTTTGACAATCATCACTGACTGAATTCATACCCAGAGAATGTAGTGGTTTTTTCTGAATCTGCAGACCAGTAATCCGTCATCCAAAAATACTTACCCGCAAAGAAAGTAGTTAAAGTACGTGGTTAATTTCTGCTTTATACCTCAGTACTAATTAAAGCAATGCCAAGGAACTATTGAATTGGCAATTCAGCTGATGGTAATTTTTGTGAACCAAAAGCAACTTAACTGTGGAACCTAGGATGTATTACTTTACTTTTAGAAGCAACGATACTTCATTAACCACTATGATACAAAGATTTAGCTACATTGCTGCCGATGAGTAATCACCGCTTTAACTTGGATATCCTATTCCTTGAACCATCCATCATACAATATACCTCTCAAAAATTAGCTGTAGTGTTACCTATCACACTGCCGTAGCAAGTTGCGTTAAATCGGACCATCATTCAACTGATGCACATCACGACAGTCGGAACTTTCCCTACAATAAATTTGCAAGTGAGCAATGTTGAATGACGCTTCAGCGATTCCGCTCCTAAATTGATGTTTGGCATGTCACTGAATGCTAGCAAACAATACTAGTTATCCAATGCAGATAAGTATGACTGTGTGTGTGTGTGCTGGGGGGGCTAGTTGATGTTTACGTTGAGATGGAGGACCTAGACCTTTGAAATTTATTCGTTGAATTTTACTCTTGTCTGATGTTTTAACTCATTTTATTCGTACCAGTTGTGGTATATAAGCCTGACGGGAGCCACCGAAGACGAGCTTCTTCGCTGACTCCTGTTTTATTCCTCCGAGTTGCATCCTATTCTGCTTCACTGCAATCTTTTACATGGCGCAAAAGAGCGTCTGTCTGTTTGTTCAGTGGTGTTTTGGATTTAGCAGATCTTCCACAGCTACATGTAACCAATGTGCCTTGAGCTTTGATATCGTTAATCGCGCAGCGGGGCTCAACACCCCTTTTTCTGACTACCGCTGATTGCCTAGCAAGTTAAAACGCATGGTATTGAAATCATCTGACTAAACGTTGTAATGTCCACTCACTCGGTTGAAGCTATCCAGTTGGACAAACGTATCGTGCACGTCTTCGATCGCTTTGATGGTAAAGTTTCCCGTGAAAATTGCACCCTGAATCGGCCACTGGGAAGATGCTGCCTTTGAACGTTTACAACCCCTGTGAGACATAGGAACACGATAGCAGTTCAGAAGCGTGCAGTTAACAGTGGATGAAACTCGTCTGCTCATAAGCAGCGAAACATGGTTGGCGTCATCCGGTTCCGTATTCGGTTGTCACTGCGACCACCATAAGACAACCACAGGATGCCTGGTCCACAGAGGGATCATGGGTTGCTTGCGATGCACCCGCTCACAGTTCCATCCACACACCCCATATCCAGTGGAAATCCGAAGAAATAAGACCGGGAGGCATGTGGATGGGAGTCACTTTTCATCAACGGAGCCAGCCCCATAATCCTTCATCATACACAGCAGTAGCATTCCTGTCTATCTATGTGGAGAATCATGCGGACCAGACGAACACTAGGCGGTGGCCGGGCCGTAGTCTGCTCCACACTAGATAGAACCATACTTTGAACTTAGCTCGGTCAAGAGAACTGTGCATGCCGTCCCAACAGCAACGGTTCACAGTCTCCTGGAGCCAGTATAGACGAGGTAGTGGGTGATAGACAGGTAGGCACCTTGACAACATGCACATCAAGCGCAGCCACATTGGGAATATCAAACAATCAACTCAGAATATGAAGGAAAATAAACACACAAAATTGACTTGGGATATGCAGAGTAATAAAAGAAATGAGCAAATCAAATAAAGTGGGATAATTTTTATTCAGATTAAGAAGATCTAGTTTAAATGCATGTCGCTCTTTCCTAAATGCGATGAAAAAGCATAACGTATGCAACATCATGCTCAACAGTTGTTATCAGGTAGCATGAATATTAACCAACAGTTAATCAGCCAGTTTCCTTGTTTCGTCTGGTATACAGTGAGTATTTCTACCTAAATATTTGAGAGAAATCGATTAAAAGCTATAGTGAAAATGGTGCCCCCATGTAAACATATTCTACTGGCCAACCTGCGCCTGCATAAGTCTCCATTTCTAACATCTGAGAATCCCAAAATTACAGTTATACCCCATTGGTGACTTCCGAGTCAAGAAACACCACAAGATGACCAGTTTTGTAAACATTAGACCACAAAACACGACAGTTTGAATAGAACGCTTCTGTATATAACACTACGTGTCTGTCTTCTTGTAAACTTGAGTGTGGTAAGGGCACTTCCATCCAAAAGTCACACGCAACATATCACAGCAAATGGACTGAAAAGCATGTGGTCTATACCCTCATTACTTTCCAATTTATATTATAAATCACGTGTGCCTAGATTCAGTCACGGATTTCTTTTAGTATATGCTGCCTGCTCAATAGAATACGCCGAAATGCTAACGCTTGCAATTGCACTACACCATTGCAGGGCTGAAATACCATGTTAGGAAAAAGGTAGAACAACGAGTCGAAGAGCTATCGTGAATCAAAGGGCTAACTCTTAACACCTGACGCAGTTTGGTATGGATGCGAATTTTATGCTTTAAGATAAATGTTTTAATAAACTGTAGTCTGTGTCCATAGGAACATACGAATCCTCCTTTGGAAATAATTGTAATTGCATCTGCCTCGATAGTCTGGCAAGCTTTAAAGAGCACACCATCTCTTTTACTTAAATCACCTTTAGACAAACACGGGCTCAATATATATTGCTCTAATCCTAGTAATGTGGCAACATAAATGACACTCCTGGGTAAGAATTGTCCGGTAACATTTTAAATGGTCCTTCCTAGTGAAGAAATATTGGCTATTATTGATGGGTACGAACACTTTTGGTGAAATTTTACTGATTTTTTTCTGGAAACTCACAAACCAGCTAGTTTGATTACCAGCCTAGGAAACCACCAGACGGCCGCTATGCCATGTTGAGGCTTGTAAGTGGTGCATGTTTCCTCGGACAACTTCAGGTGACCTATCTTTGACCATCAATGGCTAGTGCCACTAGCCAGCAGCTTAATCCACTGAGTAATAGCGGGTGGTAGCAGATCATCATAGCTTGAAATGTACTGTAGCAAATCAGTGAAATACCATCAAATTCCTTCCTACTGATAAGTAAGTAAGTAATCAAAAAATCGCTCTTACAGTCTGTACATGCCACGCGTACATGGCTGCTGTGTAATGGACGTCGTGACTTTTGGAGGCCATTCACTATCCGCTGCAGTGATATTAACCTACGCAACGGTGGAGGACAGGTGCGATATATTCCAGTTAAAATTGCAAGTTCTGGTCTGCTAACTTCTCCCCATGGTTCAATGGCATAAGCTGCTGGCTACTTGGTGCAAGATGCTAGAGACCATGGGTTTGGTTCACTGAAAAGGATCGACGGACATCTTTCAATATGTCGAAAGGATTCCTGGTGCTTTGTCGGAGCGGCAGTTTGACTATCTGGCTGCTAATCTGGTAAAGCAAGTCAATCAAATAGTGGCTATACCTTAGCTTGACATCAGAGCTTGCCTTTAAGTAACAGCGACCAAGGCAACTATGTTCCTTGAGAGTTTGGTGATCCATTATATGTCAAGAATTTGTTTGTTCCTGTCGGTCGTAATGCGGTACTTGCATGAAAAAGATGTGCGTTGATAAAGTGATTAAAGGCGACTAATGCTTTATAATGCATTACCAGGTTCCTCAGCAGATGTCATGGTTGTGCAATGTACGCTCGGATTTTCAACCTGAGTTCGAATGGAAAATGACACCAAGCAGCAGTAAATTTGTTGGCCATTGATGTAAATTCCAAGGCAAAGCATGGTCGTGTTGCCATCAGAGTCACTAGAGCTGAGTAAAGTTGTTTATATCAGCCTAACTCAGTTACCAAATGTCTGCTAGAACGAGGGGGATCAAGTCAAACCAATGATCTCCAGTTCCTTATATTTAGATGACTGGCTGATTCAAGCCTGCATGCACATCCTCAATCAGTAAAGGATAGTGACGATTCTGATTCCCAGTGCCGTATGCACCGTTCCTGCGGTTAGCGACCTCCGGTTGATTTGCCTGGCTGTGTTAACAAGAATATTTCTTGTTAGATTTCTGGCTGCATTGATATGATTTCTTGGAATTTACAATAGCATTCAGTTTCATTTATGATCTTGATATTTAAGTCATAAATATTTTTGTTATCTATGTTTAATTTTGGAAATTTTACTTTCTCTTTCTGCTCCACAATTGGTCACCATCTTGGTTTCGAAATTTTCATAAGGCCGGAGCAATCATCTTGCAGTGCTTGTTCCCAGATTGTCGGAAGTCAAACAAATGCACTCACATGTGTCATGTGTCATGTTACAAATTCCATGTCCCATATATTGGACTATTGATTAAGCTTTTACAGCGTTTTCGTGAAATCCAACATGACGTCGTTCAAATTTTTGGTAAGAATTGACGAAACAAATACAGCCGGAGAAGGTAGAGCAGAATCGTAAACCGCCTTGTAAGGTGCATCATTCCGTGGAGAGCAGCTTCATGGGTTTGACCCAACAACTAGCCCGAAGAGCCTCTAGGTCTTAGATAAGCCTTCCTGCTCGTTCCGTGAAAATTCACCGGCACGAAATCCCGCAGTTACCAGCAGCCCAGTTACACTTGACGCGAATATTTCACCTGTGTTCTTCTACAGGCACAGCTGTCCCAGTGGGTAGGGGCCTGTGTACTGAAGACACTTGGAAACTACAAGGAAACCGAAGGCAGGAAAATAAAAAGAGTTCAACCGCTGCAAACCAACGACAGGTCAGACCACGTGAATCGCGAGAAAATCCTCGTCATGCGAGGTCAACCTTGGCCGACCAGAGGCGTTTTAACCTTGTGATCTGAGTCCATTGATCCAACTGCACAGATGTCCTATGATTATGACGTCGAGCTTTTACAGAACTTGACAGACTCCTCGACGTGGGGGAGGACAGGTCGAGGGTGAAGCAGAGTATCCGTCTTGGAAAGAAAAATGATCAACAAAGTCGACCAATGAAAATCTTCTTTGTGTTCGAAGTCAGTTGTAGGCTTATCTTGTTCTGAGTAAATAGATTGAACGCTTTAAAGCTCCATGTTCGTCCAGGTTTAGACCCGGTGGATTGAGAATGGCACAAGTCTGCCATCAATGAACTAAAGACACAAAATTGTGCCTGGGAAATTAATCCCCTATAGTAAAATCTTGGGTAGTTTTCAAGATTCCACGATTCAGGGTAAACAAGTTGCTCACACTTCAAGCACGCCCAGTGATTCCTACAGCGACCTGCGTGCAGCCTTTCCTAACAGTTGTAGTCTTATTAACAAACTCAATGAACTCTGTCCTTCTGTGGCATCTGAGCGGCCTGACTTAATGGGACTCACAGAGACGCGGCTGCATTCTGGAGTGCAGCCCAGGAAATCGAACTGAGTGGTTACTTATGCTTCCGCTACGATAGACTAACGACTGCAAGCGGTGGGATCTTGCCCTATATCCGGCCCTCACTGTGTGGGAGAGTTGTAAAGGTCTACAGAAGCGACGATGGTCCGTGCTAGCAGCTGTGGTGCTCGATCTACCTCAGATTCGGGGAACTACTAGAGGGGGCATTTTATCACAGTCCCCTGAGCCGTTGTTTGGATTGGTTGTCGCATCTCCGAAGCCACATCTGTCATCCCAATTTTCTACTCATGGATGATTTCAATACATCTCGGATACTCTGGCATAAAGTTGAACTTATGCCAGGATGTTACGAGGACGAAACAAAGTTCGTGGAATTAGTACATGAAACTGGAGCAGGGCAAAACATGTACCAGCCGACTCGAACAACGCCGCGCTCAACTACCTCATGCCTGGACTTGGTGTTAACAAGCTATGAGCAACAAGTGTACGACGTTCAGGTTCTAGAACCCTTAGCAGCAAGCGATCACCCAGTGCTCATTGTCAGTATGGATCTATCTTTACTGTCTTCCCGCCCGCTGGAGCCAGCTTAAAACTGTTGGAAAACTAACTTAGAAGGTCTAACTCAAGCCATGAGACAAGTAGATTTGTCTTTGCAGTAAACTGTATCTGTGGGAGACTGTCAGGTTGTTATTACAGCAGGAATGACATTCCTGCGTTCTCAGTTTGTGCCGTTGAAGTTTCGGAAAGCTGGACCAGTCAAGCTGTACTGATTCGACAAGGAGTATGATTAAACCTCCCGGCGGCGGAGCAAATTGTGGGACAAACTCCTCCACTCCAGCTCTTCCAATGATCACGAGGCATATTAGAGACACCGAAATATTTGCAATAGTGTACATACAAGCAAGCGCCGGTATTTCAAACAACAGCTCGTAATCGCCGCAATGACAGTTCCGTAAAGAATATTTACTTAAGTGAAAAAGGTGCCTCAAGCTAGCAGGTGATCTGCAAGTGCTAGAGGACTCGGACGGAAAGCCTCTAACCTCTAGCTCCGAGCGTGCGTCAGTCTTGACGAGGCACTTCGGTTCCTTGCTTGCAAATGACGAGGTGTGTGTACCGCGTACGATGTTTACCGCGATTACCGAAATCGACAGTTTGGTTTGAGGTGTTGAAGAGGTGCATCCACTACTCACCAAGCTTGACGGCACAAAACCAGATGACTTTGATGGGCTCCACTCACTGGTTCTCAAGTGCCTATCGGCCATCATCTCACCTGCTGTGACTGACTCGCTCAACAGGTCACTATCCGAAAGTTCGTTGTCAAGCGAGCGGAAATGCTCATTGGTTAGGCCGATTCCGAAAGTCGGTGACCCCAGCAAAGTGAACAACTACAGACCGATTTTTCCGACACCTATTTTGGACCAGCTTGCCGAGTAGATCATGAAAGGTATACTACAGCTGCACCACTCTGCTACTCTATATTGACGCCCGTACAGCACGGTTTTAGCATAGGCCGCTCATGCATTGCTTAATCTGCTGGTGACGCTGCATGAACGGTTGCAGGTAGTAAATCAGGGAAGTCTGTCAACGTAATTTATGTCGATTGCAGTAAAGCGTTCAACATGGTAAACAATGAGGTGCTCCTCCACAAACTGAGAATGTGCGGTGTTGTTAGATCACTGCACCTGTAGACCCAGGACTTCCTTGTAGAGCGAAAGTGCAGGGTAAAGGTCGACGGCCATCTAACTGACAGGTATTCCTGCACTAATGGGATACCACAAAGCACGATGCTGGGGACCGGTCTGTTCCTAATCCACATCAACGGTCTACCTCAGCTTCTTCGCTCACCGTGTGCCCTGTTTGAGAAAGACCTGAAAATTTGGAGAGAAATTAGCATCTCACAAGGCTGCAGACTACTTTAGCACAACCTCAGCCGTCTCTGTATGTGATTTGCGGAAGTCCGCCTTCCGGTCAACCCACCCGAGTCATTTATGAGTCTATGGAAGGATGGCGACGGCCGAATCTACCCCATTGACGGCCAATGGCTACAACCCACACCTTCGGTGAAGGACCAAGGTGTACTCGTGCTGTGATTTGAAGTCTGTTGATAACATGGACACTATATTGTAACGGACTGTGTACGCTTTGGGCGAACGAACGAAGCACTTGCAGTTGGTTTGAAGTGGTCACTACTCGGGTCTTCCTTTCCATCAAAAGATCAATAATGGAGTACGGCGCACCCGTTTTGCTGGCCAATCACCCGAGGCGTGGCACAAAGCATCGAATTGATCCAACAGATCGCTACCTTTCTCATTCCAGACTTACGAGAGTTATTACACGAAGATCGGTGCGAGGAACTCGGACTCCATACCTTGTCATATCGTCGGGTGCAAGTGGATCTCATCATGACCTACCGTATATTACATCTTGGTGACATCCCCATGTTGATGCCGTTGCTTCAGTTGCGAACGCTACACAACACATACAGATACCGGTCCAACCATTTTGGTGAGGACATGAAGCGAATTCCCCGCGCCTTGTACTTCGAGCAGAAAGTCGCAAATATTTGGAACAGTCTGCCGGAACAAGTGGTAGAGGCCAAAGCTGTACAACTGTTCAGAACGTTATTGGGTTTAAACTTCAGTCACATTAGATTCATAGGACCACTGCACACTAACAATGACATATTACATTTGTGAAATCTGTGAAACGGTAAGTCAGACAGTCTAAAATGCCACAGGGGAACTTATCCAACGATTTGATTAACATGGAGTGCGAGCACCTTTCCTAAGATTTTTATTACATTGCGATGGAGTAGTACAGATTAAAATTTCTACTTGCTCCAACGTACAGTATTCAGTATTCATTATTCGTGCAGGCAGCTCGCTCGAGGATAAACACTGTAAAAGCTTTTGTTTCGTTAAAATTTTGCGCAATGATTTATATTCGAGATGGCGACCTTACCGAGGTTCCGCTGGATTCCGAGATAAAGCAGCTCAATCAGGTTCATATGTTGCAAACTCAGCTTGCGCATGTTGTTATAATGTTCAACTATAAAAGACCCGTATATCAATGTACAATGTACCATATTTCCATCATGTTACACTCGATTGCAGCTCATGAGAATGCGCTTAGGCTCTTGTGGAAAAGTGGTTAGGCTATTCTAACTGGGTGGCCATTAGTGCATTGATTTCGTCTCATGCTATGAATACGATCAGTCAGTGTGTGCATGCATCACAATAAACACATGTGTGGATCTACTCATCGCTTAGGAAAATTAATATCAGAAGTGGGTTGGTCCGGAAGATGATTAGGAGTGATGTGATCGCCGTGATAAATACGTACGGACCTAACATTTTTAATGTATATTTAGTATATAAGGAAGATACGTAGGCGTCAAAGTTTCATCCATGCAGTGGTATACCTGCTCAATTTGATATCGGTATCGGAACGGCAGAGTACTCACTTTGATATATTTAATGGTTGTTTGATGGACCCCATGACGACTTGGCTCCATAATACGCCGTTAAAATTAACGTCACCAAAGAGGCCCTGGAAATTTCAAGATAAATGGTACGTCAGTTAGAAGCTCCCTGATATGAGGTGTTAAACCAGTGTACCGGAAACTTTTGCACCCAAAACCTGCAGCAAACAGAATCAGGAACTTTTTACTGGCTAGGCGAAGTTGATGAGAGGTGGGCAGATAAAACTAGGCTCACAACGTTGTCCGTTAAAGCAATTAGACGACCGTATCTCCTAATTATCGTAGCTTAAACTTTTGTCATTTAGCATACTATAACGCATACCTTTCTCTTCGTTGTCACTTTTATCACCCATGCAGCACATTGTTCAATTTTCCAAATAAAAGCAGAGGATTCACGGATAATTTGTCTAATTGAGTTATACTGTACGTTTCAAGAATTAACATTATGAATTCTACTACAGAGTTTGACATGATCTAGCTCTATTTTGCTCCTACTAACGATATGTTTTTTGATGTTTCAACCTTTGCATTAACAGCCCATAAACGTTCATCAAGATAGTTACCTGATACGGTATATTTCACAAATGACCAGGAGGGAAACGTAGAGATCTCATTTGAGTTAAACACTTTTAGATCAGTTGACGCATATCCGTTTGTTCTTAGCACCCAAGAGTCGAAGGGTTTTTGAATCGGTCACTAATTCGAAGCAATGCACATCCTGTTGCTTATACAAATTTACAGGTTAGGCGTACTGTTCTAAATTTAGACTTCCAAATCAATTAACTCATTATAAAGTGGCTCTGCAAACGGATGGGACATTTGATGAGCACCGATTACCAGGTGAGTCCTGATGCGTCCTTCACAGTTCTCATACGCAAGCAAAGGCTTCACATTTTTATTAATCGACTGTACGCGACATTGCGTTATAAAACAGCGAAAGTTGACACAATGCATACCGTAGTAGCGCACCAATCAGAACACAGTTGAGGACCAATTGAATCCCTTGTAAGTTACATGTACGTAGTCGAAGAGTATGCATCAAATGAGAGTGTAATGGCAAACGCCGACGCCTGTAGAGCATTTCGTACCATAAGACAATCGGACTCTACTGAGGGTCAAATGTAGTGACTTAGTTAGGACCTTAGCAAAGCACCAAATAGAACGCCACCTGAGAGCAGGTTGCTTCTTACCTTTACATTGTTCTGCATTCTATACCCATAATTCACATAACCCGAATTCTCGATGACTACAGCCAAAAGTGTATGACTCGGAAACCTATCTAAATGGAGTTTGACGTGCGTTGTATTGGGCCTCAAAGTGGTACGCCACTCCTGGAAGTCAACAGAGAAATGGAAAAGAAAAATGAATTTGATCTCAAGTTCAAGAGGATGTTACAGCACATATTGTGCGGAAGGCATCTGAGGAATTCACCGAAACATAATTCATCAAAGCAAATTCCCCGATCTATTTGGAACGGAGATTTGTAAAATATACCTTAGTGCATTTCTTTCAGGTAGATGAAACCATGTGGCTAACCTATTGAGCCTCCTGCTATCACGTCGGCATAGGTTAAACTTGTATGTAATAACAAGCAATAAGTGTCAGGTGGAACAACAAAGAGCTACACCGTGAAAGATTGGGAACAGTTGAGTTAAGCAAAACAAAAGAACCAACACAAATAAATACCCGAACAAATGCAAATCGCCACCCACCTTTCAGCTATGTCGAGTCGCATTAAGTCTATGGAAATAAGACGACATTTCTTGGTCTAACCGTCAGAATACAGTACGCATCAAAGAAAGTATTTTTATTAGTTCGGTACTTCATGAATGTAAGTGGCTGTCATTACCATACTCAAATTTCACCCAATTAAATTCATGTGGACAAATTGCACTTGAAAATCTCAACAGTAACAGCTAAGCAGAGAACGCAAGTTAGCCAGTAAAGGTAATTTTGGTTCAGTAAAGATTTAAGCGCAACACAGCGGATTCGCTGTCATTGAACTTCCCCGCTTGTCGCATCATGTGGATACTAGGAACACATCGTTGACTTCGCAGGCCAGAGGTTTAGTGCGAATGCCCTAACGGTGAGTTGATCGTGTTTCTAAGCAGCACATCATCATCGACCTCTCCGTCATGATGTCTTGATGTGTTTGTCATGTATTCTCTCGTTCTTAAACCATTGTTTAGTCAGGCAATGCAAAAAGTGTGCAGCTGACACATGTAGCTGCAATGAGCTGAGACATCAACGCAGAGGTGAGTCGTAAAATAATTATGACAACGAATCGATGCATCACCCTAAGTTACAAAAGGAGACCGAAAATGGACCGGAACCGCCACAGACAGTGGTGGGCAGGTTAATCCTTTCTGGTGGTGGTAGTGTAAACCGCGAAAACTGGTTGACTAAGGGACAATTTTCACCTTTGCACCAGGATTTCCACCGACAGCGGTTAGCACGGCCGAAGTAGGACTCGCTTCCAATCCGGCATATTGTACGAGCAATGAATTGATACCTCTAAAGGTCATACTAGAATCGTACATGCTATATTGAATGGTTTGTATGCGTGCGCGAATTTTTCAAAAATGATTTTACAGATGCAAGCAGCTTACTTATATAGTATCAAAATGTTCTTTACATCATATCACTCGGCCATTCAGAACATGTGTCATTACGTTTCCTGTTTTGGCACACTACCAGTACTTTCCGAGACACATTTTTTAGGATGTTACTATTGTTTCTGTCCAAGGCGTGGTTTCTGTTGGTTGTGGGGTTAGGGTCTTTCTCAGTTATGACGTATCCAGTGACCTCTAGTGCCCCTGTTTCTCAATGCTTTTGACTTCACTTGCTGAGAGCCCTCTGTTTTTCTCTGCCATTGTCTTAAGGGATTTCCGGCATTAAACTGCTTTAGATTCACTGAAATATACACAAATAGAACACCATTGGAGCCTACTGATACAAAACAGAATCATTCCCATGGATTTCCTCAGCCATGGTAGACTGTGTTACTGAGAGCTGGCAGAATGTCACCATACGATTCAAACTGATGGTTCCTGTGGTAGAGTTGACCGCAAATTAACAGGAGCAGACTTGCATAAGATTTCCTTTTGTTCATTTTACACCCAAAAATTGTCTGTCGTCAATGTGGTGCTTAAATTAAAGGAATCACTGGAGTTCATTTGCACTATGATATCCAATTAGTTTTCCGGACATGTCCGGCCTCACTGATGATGATCTCAAATTGAACACAATGTACTCGATCCATGAAGCCGAATATAGCATAAAATGTAATGTTTTGTATACTTTTATCAACAAATGAATCAACCGTATGCTGCGGTTAATCGCCATGGACTCCCCCTCATATACAAAGTGCCACGTGGTCTCTGAATCATTCCACTTATGTACTTTGATGTGTAGTGGAGTGGATTCGCAGAGAGTTCTCAACCATGTCCGTTCCATATACAGACTTTTCGCCGCCGTGTTAGGACACATTTCTCACTTACTTAACTTTACTGCGGCTAGCTCGTGCGACAGGATGAGCCGGTTTCATAGATGTCGCGGATAGCAGCTACCCAAGCGAGGCGGTCGGCGGCAAGCTCCACGCAGATACTTATTGTGATTACTCCAGTGACAAACACCATGCACAACATGGAGTCCCAGAAGATGGACACCAGATTTCACTGTAGCGAGCCATGTTTTCATTTGTTCAGCACGGTGACGACGCCAACCCTGGCAAGGCGAGGGTGAAACTACGACCTCAGTAAAGTCAGTGTATGGTCTGCAGAGGAAGTGACCGAACCACCGAAGTCTGTAGAGTTGGATGAGCGTAAAGATCTTCGGAAGACCCTAACAGCGTTTACGGGTTTCGTCACTGGTGATACGCTCATACCACTGCGTTTTCAACATAGGCCATAGACACCAATAGCAGAAGACTTCCAGCTTCCGGGTTTATTCGGATCGCAGCGGCCACGTTTCGCAACCATTAAGTAAAATGGCATGAATGGTTGCTGAGAATACTTGGATCTTCGCTTTCAAACTAATTTCCGTCCTTTGCCATAATATGTTTCTCAGTTGTGAGATGGCTGTTCTAGCGCTGTTAATAAGATTCCGGATTCCGGATGTAGCCTGACCATTGGGGAATACAGTGGATCCATGGTACACGAACTCAGGAATAGATTCGATGGGTTGTCGAGGTAAGGACAGCGACGGGGCGGACTGAGTGGCTACCGATAAGATGTACTTCTTCTTGCTGATGTTACTTTTGAGGCCAATCATAGAGGCTGATTAGTCGACGCGATGTAGCTGTCACTGTAGTGATATAGCATCTTCCGCAAGGATAGCGATAACGTCAGTAAATTCTAGATCTGACAACCAGAAGTCAAGGCTGACTTGAACAACACAATAGCCCTCAAAGGCATAATGCATAACCCAGCACTGAGGAAAGTGGGCAAAGCTGCCGGACTAGAGTATTGACGTCAAATCCCTTGTTTCTTCTCCATAGACTCGAATCCGGGCTTTCGTGCAACAGTAGTATGATCTCATCAAGTTTAACGGGCACGCCATCGGCAATTAGGATTCTCCAGAGCGCTTCACGTTCAAATGAGTCAAAGGCAGCTTGAAGAACAACGAAGCACACCAACGTGGGCTACTGGAACAGGTAGCGGGTTCCAGTATCCGACGTAAAGGAAAGAGTTACTTGGTGCATTCTCTGTCTGGCCGAAAGACACCTTGGTTATGGCGAGTTCGCACCTTCCTCTCATTGGCAAAGCGAGAAAGCAAGGTTCGTGCGAAGGTTTGAGCAGTCACATCGATTAGTTTAATCCCGCAATAATTAATACACACAGTTTGGTCTCCTTTCTTGGGAAATGGCAGTAGTACTGAGGTACTGTAAGAAAAAGGACAGATTTCGATGTCAAATACCGAGCAGAAGAGCTCGTACAAACGATCAAATAAAGCGGGCAGAGAAGATTTGTAGATTTGCGCTGGAATCCCGTCCGCTTCAGGAGCTTTTTTCGGCTTCAGGCGACAAAAAATGTCTACAATTGCTGTGGGACATGACCATGAGCAATCTGTGTCATATGCTATACATATATATATATATATATATGATGACATGGGTGTGGTGATGTGTAGTGGGAAGTTTAGGAGGTTGCTAAAACACTCTACCCAATTAGAAAGTTTTCCTTTCCTTTCGGGACTTAGTTGGCCTTCCGAATTGCGCAAGATCGGTTGTGGTGAATAGCGCTTGTCGGAAGCTGCTTCGGAGACGGAAGAGATGACCCAAATTGCACGAATTTGATGCAGATTCTGTTGTCTTCGATAACAGATCAGTAGCGGTTTCGATCATTCCGTGTTGAGTCGGTTGCCTTATGTCTCAAGCGACGGTAGCCTGAGCAATTCGTGAACCTGCTTCTCTAGCTTTAGCGGCCGAGCGGACAACATTTTCAGTGATCCAGCCCTTCATAGCTTTAGAGATAGATACCAAGGTAGATAAAGCGGCGCTTTGAACTGGTAACGTCAGCGTAGTTCAACGAACGTCGACAGATTCATCTGCTGCAAGTACGAGACGTGGTGCACTGACAGAAATTTTGCTACTGTTGCTGCCCAAAGGGATCAGCATCAGACAGTATTTTCCAGTGGGGCAGCGTTGCTACGCTTTGGCGGAATGGTCTTTCGGCGCGTTGTCAAGTGGAGTCTGAATTTGGCGCGCAGGAGAACGTGGTTTGAACCATATTAACTGTCGTTTTAGCCCCGCTGTACGCTCGATAGTCATTGATGGAGGACATCCTCTGGGATCGGATTAAGAAGTAATCTAACTGGTTTGCTGTACGACCCTCGTTGGAGTACCACATCAGATGCTTCCTGGAATGCTGGAAGTGAGTACTGGTTACGCACAACCTGTTAAGGTCAGCGAAGCTGAGCAAAGGTCTTCATTATCACAGCTTTCTTCAAGGGCGTATCTCCCGAGTATGTGACTGGTCTGATCGTTCCTAAGCCCGGTTTGTGCATTGCAGTTCGCAACAATAATGAGGATGTCACGTTTTGGAACCTGGTTCACCACTGTCTGTAGTGTATCGCAAACTTCATCTTTGTCGCTTTCCGTGGAGCGTAGGGTTGGTGCG